CGCCTGCCCTGGAGAGCAGCGGGCCGTGCTCCGGGCGGCGCGGGGTGCCCACCCTGAGGAGAGGGCCTTTCTGCGCGCTTGGTGCCGCTCGCCACCGCTGCGGCGCTGGGGAGAAGGCCGCTGCTGTCGTTGGTATCGTGAGAAAGCCGTGGACGTGCACGGCGTGTCAGAGGTTTGTGTAAGGTAGGGCAGGGGTCTGCAGCGGATGGCTGTCAGAGTCCTCGGAGGAAACAGCTGCTGCCCGTTCTGCGGCACTTGTGGGTTTTATCCTGCTTGGAGGCCCAGAGCGATCTGTCTCCAACCTGCGCTGCAGGTTTTGGGGCATCTTTGGAGATAGTCTGCTTCAAGCTCTTGTTACTCCTAAAGGACCTTCAGGTGACGTATTGATGGACTCTTGTTAGCGCACATGAAGAATTCTCATAGTTTCCTAGGTCTGGCTGGTACTTCACGGTCCCTCGTGACTGTGCTAATGTAAGGCCACATTCCCATCTGAAGCTGTTCTCTAATCTCTAGCAGCCACTGATGTGTTACGGTCATAGTGACAAGCCAGCTGACTCTTCTGAAATTCAATTCTTCTCCTATAATAACCAGCTCTTTAGGTAATGGCATACAAAAACATTACATTGATGCATTTGAGTTTCTGACATTCATGAACTTAATTACAAAACTACAAAGAGGAACATGGCTCTTAATGCTAAATTTCTGCCATGCACAAAAAACTTTCACACAGAAGATGCTGGTAAAAGCATGCACAGAGATTGCTGACCTCTGTATGTTACTGTTCTGGGTGGCTGACTCTTGCAGGGATACAGCAGAGAAAAAAAGTGATATGCAGATAACAGAAACTGCTGGTCAACAGTAGGAACTATATCTGTGCAGAGTTTGTAGCAAAAGATCAATACCATGATCTCTTACCTAGGTACAGGTGGCAAGATTCTCTTTTTCAACTTTACCCCACCAATATTAGTATATTCAAAAGTGCTAGGTGAACAGCAATTTTTTTTATTATTTATGACTGATATCAGTCATCAGCTGGTCTATAATTCTTCTTATCAGGACCCCTTCTATGGTTAAGTTATGTCTAATGAGCTTTTTAAGTTCTCATATTGGTCCCTCTGCTGCTTTTATTTTTTAATTAAAGGACAGTTTTTCTTCTATAGCACATTTCAGTGATATGTTAAACAACAGTTTTCCGTTCTTTTAGCAGAGCACTACTTCCCAACTGAATCCCTGGGAAGAAATCTGCTTCAAAATTTCTAGGAAGTGGTCACGTGCAAGAGCTTTGTATTTATGCACTCCCTTAGCCAGCTTCTACAGGCTGTAGCTTTATATATGTCATTCAGAGCTGTTACAACTTCCACAGTGCTTTTTAGCTTGGCTGACTGGCTGTGGTGCTGCCTATGCTAGAACTGCTTTCTCTAGGGCTGGTGAAGCAATTGTCATCCTGTACAGTTTCAGTGACTTTGACTAACATAGCTAAAATTGGACTGTGGCCTACCATTCAATAAGAGGCAGGGTAAGTTACTCAGACTATAACTGTTTTTCTTCAGAGAAGTCATTTATCTTGGTTGCTACTTTGAATGGTTCTACGGCACTGAGTTGCAGCGATGCTTAAAGAAAAGCAGTGAATGAGAAAGGACTTTAGTCACTTTTGTGTTGTGTTTTTTTTTTTTTTTTTCTGAGCAGATGCTTTCTTTACCTGTCGAAAGAATGTGCTTCTGGCGAAGAGCGCGTCCACCCAGGTAGAGGGCATCTTTGCTGCAACCAGAGGAAAGTCGGTCCCAGAAGAGCAAGAAGCCCTGCTCCAGCAGTGGCTGGAGGAAGGAGCAGGGAATTTCCCAGCCAGTGAGAGTGCTCCAGCAGTGGGGAAAGTATCGGCCACGCTCACTAGTGACTGGTTAGAAGGTTCAGAGCTATTGATGACTAGCCTTAGTGACCTGAACTCGGCTCCAGAAGTCACATGGTGTGCTGGTCAGCAGCTCACAGAGCTACACACTTTGGCATCTTCAGAACCACAAGATCATGCAGTGGCTGAACTGGCAAAATTACCAGCAGAGGAAACAGTGGCTGTAGTAGGCAATGCCCCTTGGGCAGCTATAATGCCACAGACGGATCACCAGATAGTTGGCTGTGCCACTATAGATGTAGAAGGGCAGAATGAAGACCCAGCTGTGCTGGCGTGGAGCTTAGCACGTGATGCAGAGATAGTGCCAGTGGAGCCCCGAGCCTGGACCATTCAGGATATGGAACAATTTCAGCCTCTCCCGACAGAGGTACCCTACCATGGTCAGTAGTAACAGCTCTGAATCTAATGTTTAGTTTGGGATTTACATTTGTAATGAACTTTGTCAGGTTTCTGTATGTGTCTGGGCAAGGTGAGTAGGTCTGGGCTACTCAGCTGTCAGTGAGAGTGCTGTCAGTGAGACATTGATTGTATCTGTCCATACAGAAATGACAGGATCTGCTAGTGAAAACTATAAAGTGAGATTTTGCTAAGGGAGGGCTAGTCACAGCTAGGGTTCTCTGTGCTGTTAGACTGTCTGATGTTGATATGCTTGTATCTCAGGATTTGTGCCCAAGTGCTGACCTCCTATTACAAAAAGTACCCAAAATGTGATTGAGTTTTTCAGTATGCCTGACTCTGGTCTTCCGTTATCCCATTCTCATTGACAGCTATCCAGATGAGTCAAAAAATACTTGGACCCCAGTCTAGGTGAGAGCTTGCTTAGAGGCTAGAATACCCTAGGTTAGAGAATTAGACTGCCTGTTTTGTGGATCCCAGGGACACAAAAGTATCAGCAGAGTACGCAGCATGGCTCTAACCTGGCTTCTTTTCTCTTACGGATAGAGATTTTATGGAGAGACTGGGAGGATCTTTCTGTCCAGCCCTACGTGCTAGAGCAGGTCTCAAGAAACATGCCTCTCTTTGAATTTCGAGTGATGTCTTACAACATCCTGGCCCAGGACCTGGTGGAACAGGGTCTTGATCTCTACTTACACTGCCATCCAGACATCCTGAACTGGAACTACCGCCTTCCAAACATTTTACAGGAAATCCACCACTGGGATCCTGATGTAAGTAACGAGCTCCTTCCACGTTAGCGTCACCAGAATTTGAATTTCTTGTTTGATCTACTGGTGCATCTCTTTTTAAGAAGAAAAAAAAAGTACTAGGAAGGTGCTGCCTGCTTGGCTACTTAAGGCTAATGCCTCTGAGACTATCAGAGGCCTTGGGTGTAAGGTGTCTTTTTTGTTTTGGTTTGTTTTTTTGTTTGTTTGGTTTTTTTTGGTCTCTGTATCTTGCTTTGACTGCGTCCCTGTAGAAACTAGTTATACTTTGATAGTAGAGCTTAACTACTTGAAGAGTAGAAGTGCATGAAGAAGAGAGAATTTGTTTTGGGGGGAAGGGACCAGGCTTATAAGGCAGTACAGAAGGTAAAGTGTACATGGAAGAGGACTTCATGATTTTCTCCATTCCCTAAGTCCTCTTTGGGTGATGAAGGAGCTTCTGCCTCATCACTGGGTAACTGAAAGAGAAACAGATGTGACCCAGAAAGTTGTTCTCTAGCTGGGAAGTGCAGGACAGAGTTGCAGTGATGGCCTTTCTGGTTGCAGGGTTAGTATGCGAGTGCACTCTTTCACTTTCTTCCTTCCTCAAAACAAGGTAGCTGACAAATACTGATGGAGCGAGTGAGGTCTCTGCCTTCCTTCCAGGTTCTGTGTCTCCAGGAGGTACAAGAGAACCATTACTGGGAGCAGCTGGAACCGACATTCAGGATGATGGGTACGTCCTGCTTTTTATGTCTGTAGCTCCAAATTGTGGCGACTGGCCATGATGTTCTTCTGTACGTCCTGTTTCCTTGGGTAGCTGCTGGCCTTACTTCTGAACTCTCTGCCTAGACGTTTCCCCCTTCAGTCTAATTCTTACTTAGCTTTTTTTGTAACTGATCTTTCTCCCAGTTGACAGATCAGAGTAACGAAACTGAGATGGTCCTGGTATACAGGGAGAGAAAAAAGACTCTTGATAATGAACTGTGATTGAGACAGAACTGGGCATAATACGATGAGCCAAAGGAGTAGAGGTTGGATTCCCAAGCACTGAGTACTGGTGCCCTAACATTCCTAGAGCCAAAAGAAAGAACCAAGAGCCAAAGAAAGATTGATAGGGAATGTGAAGTGCTACATTACGAAACAACCAGTGCTCTGCAAGTAGGCTTGCTCTTTGGCCAGTGAGAGCTGAGGAGTTTTATAGTTATAGCCCAGGTGTGTTGTAGAAAACAGGTTGAAAATTAGCAGAATGAGATTGCATAGGTGTTGGAGAAAGCTTCCTGCTGGACAAGTGTACTGGATTGAAGATCAGCCTCTTAAGACGTATAGTAGAGACCTCTTCTGCTATGTAGACTTGTTCAACCCTCCAACTAATGGTGAGGAGGCTGAGGAAGTGGCCAGATAAACCTTCTAATGAGTGTTGGTTTCTCTTCAGGCTTTGCATGCTTCTATAAACGGAGAACTGGGAGGAAAACAGATGGCTGTGCAGTGTGCTATAAGCATAGCAAGTTCCAGCTGATCAGTGTCAGCCCAATAGAATATTTCCGGCCTGGTCTGGATGTCCTCAATCGGGATAACGTGGGCTTGGTGCTTCTACTACAGCCTCTGCTCCCAGAGGGCTTGGATCTGAAGATGGCCAGTCCTTTGTGTGTGGCCAACACTCATGTTTTGTACAATCCCCGGCGAGGAGATGTCAAACTTGCGCAGATGGCCTTGCTCCTAGCAGAGATCGACAAGATTGCAAAAACTACTGAAGGCAGCTACTGTCCTGTCATCTTATGTGGTGACTTGAACTCTGTACCTGATTCTCCACTGTACAAATTCATCCGAAATGGTCAGCTTTCCTACCATGGGATGCCAGCGTGGAAGGTAGGTGCCAAACAGAACTGGGATTGGATAGCTCTTTGCTGCGTGCTGCTGCAGAAATGCATAGCTGTATTCTTCCTCTCACGAGGAAATAGTCCCAACATTAAATACAGTTATTCCAGACTCTTTTGTTGTGCCTCCAGCACTGCTGAGGAAAGAGACAGACAAGTGTGTGCATATTGTTTCCACCACTGCTCTTTTGGTTTCTCTTAAGGCAGACCAGTGATAATAGACCACTTAATTGCAGGTCGTGATTCTCCCTTGCTATGGGATTTTGATGACTGGGTGACTGGAAGCAGAGCAAAGTACTAATTCACCAGGAGTTACCAGAGCTTTATGTGGGTGTTTGATGTGAAAAAAGTTTTGCCCACGAAATGGGCACCTATGGTAGACTTCCTGTGATTTCCTGTTACTGTGTATCCATGCTCAAATAAGTTGCTCACTTTCAAGCTAAATCATCAGTTCACAAATAGAAGTCCGCAAGGTACTTTCAGGTACTGTCAGGTGACTTTCAGCTAGCTGTCTGTCCCCCTTATGTGAGGGTTTATTATATCAGTGCACCGCTGTATTCTGAATGGCTTATTTCCATGAAGACATCCTGCCAATTTGCTCTTGGCAAGTATACGCATTGCCTATAGCTTGTAAAAGTTCTGTTCTGTGTTGCTGATGTTTCCTGTCCTGTTCCTGGCTTCCTTGCAGGTATCTGGACAGGAAGACTTTTCCCAACAGTTGCATCCACGAAAGCTGCTGGCCCCACTGTGGCCAAACTCGCTGGGTGTAACGGACAACTGTCAATATGTCTCTCTGTGCCCGTCAAAGAAAGCGGGTGAGCTCCAGTGTGCACTGAGGACATGAGCTGGCTAGGGATGCGCAATATGTGGGCCTTGCTCTCTCTCTCTGATTACATGGGGCATATGTTGCATGAGGCACTTGGCAAAGATTATCTCTTTCTCCTATCCCTTTGCTTGATACATGGTTTCAATTTAATTTTTCTGGAATTTGTCACCATACCCTAATTTCTGCCACTTTCTTTCTCTAATCAGGTAGTGAATGTCCCACTATGAGTAACCCTTCCTCTGCACACCTCATTTATGTTCCCCAATTGATGCTTTTGTGCAGTTGTAAACCACCTTCAGCAGCAACAGCTTCCAGTTGGAAGTGTTTATTGGAAGGGGTTTTGAGCATTGTTTGCACGCTCCAATTAAGAACCCATTGCCAAGAGCCCACTTAAAATAACGACTAGCCTCTCCTCTAGGGAGGATTCAAAAGAAGGAGCTGCCGCTAAACAGTTCTTGTTGGAAGCTATGTGAATGTAGAACTTGTGTTCAGCTTGATCTCCAGAGCTGCTGTTCCTTTTTAGGTAAACGTTTCCTTGGGTTGCATGTTAACTGAGCTCCTTATATCCCTTGAACTTGGTGGTATTTCGGAGGGGACATTTTTAATTGTGGCATGTAGGTGCTGACAGTGATGGATACATTAACAATAGGGATTGCAATAACTGGGCTCTGGCCTGCGCGCTGTTCCTCTACATTGCTACATCTGTTCTATATTTCGGTTTTTAAGTGATTCCCATTCTGATGGTATCAGAGTGCTTGGATACTAAAATCTCTCTGGAACAGAAGTCTAAGGAGGACGTAAGTATACCCTGTAGATGTGACTTTTCTACTGTTACTTTTTTTTCCCCTTAACTAATCTTTTTCTCTGCAGACAGACGTAAGTACAGCCGGGACTTCCTGCTCCAGTTCCATTTTTGTGATGTTGCCTGTGAACGACCACCACAGTTGATCTTCTTGGAAGGTGTGACAGATGCTAAACCAGGTATTAAAGGGAGATTTTCCAGCTCTTGAGTCTCCTAGCTGAATTTTGATGAAAGACTCAGATGGAGGTAATGGTTGGGAGGAAAGGGGAACTAGCACTATGTGCCTTTGTGATTACTGATGGATTCTCTGAGGGCTTGGAGGAGTTCAGTCTTACAGTCCTTACATTGCAAGTCTTGCAATACAGACCGTGTGTCTTGAGATGCACTGAGATTCAGCCTCTTTTTGAGGCTGTTTTCAATAGAGCCAAATATTTTTTTTCTCTGCTTCAAGATTTATGAAGGGAGAACAAACCTGAAGAGTGTCAAGTCACACTGGCCGCAACATAAAGATCTCTGGATGCTGGTACTCAATACATACAGCCTCACTTCTGGGCTTTGTGGCATGGTTGCTTCTGCTCTGTCTGTTTCTGTTCTGCCTTTCTGGCCACCTGTTTTAGATGAGTAAGCTGTAGGCTGAGACAGATGAAGTTTCTTTGAGAGCAAAGGTTGAAGGACCTTGAGCTGTGATAGTATTAAATGCCTTAAGGGCATGTCCTTAACAGGACAGAATTTTTATTTCTCAGCTGTTTGCAGTGACCTGCTCTCAGGATGTTCCTGGAAGTCTTGAGTGGGGCTTTCCTTCAAATGTTTTTCTTGAACATGCCTGTGACTGGAAGCTATCTGCTCCTTTTGGGCAAAAGGACTTGTTTGGTCTCAGGAGAAATTTCTCAGACTTAGGATGAGCAGCCTGTTCCAGGCTGCTGTAGGTCTTTCCAGAATCTCTCTGCTCCTTTGCAGACCGTCCTGCACACTGGCCCAAGCATGCTGCTGTGGTGAATGACCCTGATTCCCAGCCCTTCTTCCCAAGGTAATCTGGTGCACCTTCCTGGGAGGAAGTCCTGTCTCATTGTCCTGACCAGTGAAAGTCTGGCTGAAGTAAAGACTGAGATAATTGTGAGGGTAGAAGAGAGTAAAGAGGGCTGTCTGGAATAGCTGGACTCACACAAAGTTGTCCCAGTAGCTGGGAGATGTCATGCCAACATGGGGTTGATGAGATCAAGAATGAAGGGCGTAGACAGGACTGGGTATTTGGGAGAAAGGAAGTTCCTAGTCTGCTTTGTCTCTAGTGTAAGTAGAGTGAATAATGCTGAAGGACTGTTTCTATGTATGTGTTCACAAACATAGAAATAGTTTGAACTGTTGCATCAGCAGGGGAACATCCAACTTCAGCTGTGACTGCAGCACTGAAAATGGCATCATCCTTTTTCCCATCTTAGTAAATGCTGGCTGTTCATGTGCAGGTCTTCAGGTGTTATTCAGCATGGTCTCAACCTGACCTCAGTCTACAGCCACTTCCTGCCACAGAGGGGGCGCCCAGAGGTCACAACCATGCCCATGGGGCTTGGAGCCACCGTTGATTATATCTTCTACTCAGCAGAGCCTGTGGAGAATGGGAACAGAGGGGGTGAGTATGGCAGTGTGGGGCTCATTCCCGCTGTGCCAGGAGACGGCTGTGTGGTACAGAAGAATGCAACTTTGTGGTGGGCAATGTGTTTCATTAAGCTGGAGATGGATCTACAGGGTGTGACTGTGACCAAAATGTTGCACAAAAGAGAAGCAGCATTTGCTCAAGTTTCATAAGAAGACACTGTGCACCTTTGCTGTGGAAGAGCTTAAGCTGCTCGTTTTAGGTTCAAGTAGCCTCTGAGAAAGCCAGAATAGAATGTATTCTGCTTCTTGTGTGCAAGTACCTACTTGTGTTCAGAGAATCTCAGAATCGCAGAATGGTTGAGGTTGGAAGGGACCTCTGGAGACCATCTAGTTCAAAACACACAAACGCCCCCCTCCACTCCACAATCTCTCTGGGCAACCTGTTCCTGTGCTCTGTCACCCTCACAGGAAAGAAGTTTTTCCTCATGCTCAGTCAGACCTTCCTGTGTTTCAGTTTGTGCCCGTTGCCTCTCATCCTATTGCTTGGCACCGTGGAGAAGTCTGGCCCTATCCTCTTGACACCCTCCCTTCAGATACTTTTGCACATTGATCAGATCCCCCTCAGTCTTCTCTTCTCCAGACTGAACAGGCCCAGTTCTCTCAGCCTTTCCTCATAGGAGAGATGCTCCAGACCCTTAATCATCTAGGTAGTTCTTGATCATAAGCAGTGCTGAACCCTAAGTTCAAGATTTGGACTTCTGGTCTGACTGAGACCCCACATTGGCCTTAAAAGGAGGCAGCTTTTGTTGCCTTACACTGATACTACCTCTCTGCTACCTGGAGCTGGAGTTAAGTTGATGAAAGACTGCACGTAACTGCATCTGAGCTGGTTTGGATCAGGTCAGCATCAACTTTGGGGAGAAGGGTAGGAATGAATAGATCAACCCTTTCTCAAAGGAGAATCTAAAGGCATCTCTAGGAGCAAGTGCAGTGAACAGCGGCTTTCCATGTAAGCAGCTTTGAGGTGAATTTAGCATATACTGAATTCCCAAGTATATGAGTCCAGAGAACAGCGGTAGTATAGGATGCTCACTGCTTTCACATCTAGGCTCAAAGGTGCATGCAGTATTTGTGCAGGCTGGCTTTCTGCATCAGGAAAGGGGTGGGAGAGCATTGTCAAGCATCACTCTATGGGTATATAGAGTTAATCTACAGCATGAGCATCCAGCTGTTGTTTCCTTCCTTTTTCTCTATCAGGTCGCAGGCTGTACCAGGATGGAGCCCTGAAGCTGCTTGGCCGACTTTCCCTTCTCTCTGAAGATGTCCTGTTGATGGCAAATGGCTTACCCAATCCTTTTTGTTCATCTGATCATCTCTGCTTGCTGGCTAGCTTTGGCTTGGAGATCTCCAGCCTCAGAGAGGGTTAGTGTTGGTCCCCCTTCCCTAAAGAAAAGCTGTTCTGAATACAGCAGTTGAAGCTCTGGATGCATAATCTACTTGCAAGAAAACTCTTTTCCTTGTCATGTCCTAAAAGTCCCCTTCTCCTCTCGTACCCTCACAGAAAATTGGGGGTGAGAGAGTTGGAGCCTTTTGTGCATTGCTGTTTCATGGGCTCTGCAAACCTGAGCTACATTCCCAGCAGGCTTCCAGTTGTTTTCAGGCTTTATCATCTCTTAAAGAGATCTTTGAAGTTAACTTTCTTGTTTCCCTGCTTCATTTAGCAGATGTTCTAGTGCTGCAGGAGCCAACCTAACTTCTACGTTTGCTTGTCCCTAGGTGAGATCTTCAAGGAGCTGGGCAGTTGAGGGGCAGTGCTGTCTACTTCTAGTTAGTCAATTGCTGCCAAACAGCTGGGGGTGTATACACCAAAATTCTTTCATGCCAAAACAATGGTTCTTTTAATTTGTTAGTGATAGTTTATGAAGCATAGTCTTCCCATCCACTGGTTGTGGTGTTGCCTTCGAGAACGGTGTCCTGCTGACTGCTTGGAAATGGCTTTTACCTAATGATAGGTAAGGGCTGTCTTTCTGACAGAAGAGTTTGTTTGTGGACTTGAGCAGTTTCAACAAGAAGCTTCTTACTGTGTCTAAAGGACCTGGGAATGGGCTTGCTGGGAATGGAGCTGAGGTTCTACAGAACTGTCCTCAGGAGCTCTAGAAACACAGCAAAAGCCTAGAGGCCTTGGGGAAGGCTCCCTTCCTTTTGTGGCAGTCTCAGAACAGTACCTAGTTCCTTTGGCACTAGTAGGAAAAAGATTTAAGATTCTCTCAGTGGATTTCAGGTGGAGAAAATTGTCCTGTAAGACATGAGAACCTCAGGAGGCCATGGCTCTGGGAGGTCCCAAGAGAGAGATGAAAATGCTTCAGAGGAAGCAAAGCTGTCAGGTGCAAGAGCTGATATTTCTCACTTGTCCTATTCTTTCTCTGTGCCCTCCTTATTCCAATTGACCAGTCAGAGGTCAGATAGCCAACCTACGGCATCTTCCTGGTCCAGATGGAAGTTCATGCTACTGCTTTCTTCTGGAGCAGGCTGTGTTTATGTAGGTAGAACCTACAGGACTGACTCCTGTCTCTTGACAGGAGTTGGGAGGGAGGGGAAAGTTGTGTACTTAGAGCCAGAGCATCAGTCACTTGGATCCCAGTATACCTTCGGTGTCCTGTCAGCATAGTTACTAGTCAGCAGTGGCTTGGTCAGTACGAAAACAGCAGAACTGGATGTGTTCCTGGGGCAGATTCTGCAGTTTGGCCTAACTTCTGGTGCTCAGCTTTCCCTGTGAGAGATGAGTGCAATACTGGCAGAAGCCCTTTTAACCTTCTGCTCATAAACGAGGCAGGGAAATGTGGTTCCACCTCAGTCAGATTTCTGTGGAAGGGTACAAGAAGACTTGAAATATCATTGCCTTTTCCTGGGTTGTATTGGGGGAGTTTCATGTTTTAAATGTTACTTTCTTAATCTTATTCAAAAATAAAAAATTTTGTAATTTAAGAAAAACACATACTAACTCCAGCACCTTGTGCTCCTGGCAGCTAAACCCTCCAAGGACTTGGAGGAATGCAGAGCTTTGCATGGCTCTGTTTGTCTGGCAGTTGCACTAATTTCTACAAGTACTCTTATTCTGGTTTTGTTATTGGTTTTATTTGCAAGGGGGAGGGGAGGAAAGGGAAATCTGTGCCACTGCGAGAGCTTTATTTATCTGCCACGCTCTTTCCAGGTTGCCAGAAAGCAGCCTGCTTGCAGATAACACCTACCAGTTGGCAACATTGGAACAGAAAACTTGGAAGACATTGAAGGTTCAAAAAAACACCAAAAACAAAACAAAAACCCTATGCCAGTTCTAGCTGTTGTCACTTACAGCTTTGGCTGCCTGCTTCTGTTGTAACTGCTGGCTAGTTCTGATAGTCAGTTAATGCTGGGGGCGTGGGGAGGGAAGCAGCCCTCCTGGCCCCCTATACAGAGACCCATAACATGTACATAGTACACCAAATAGCTGAGGGTTGAGTGACATCTTCTCAGGGCGCTATTAGGCTGGGCTGGAGGGCACCCTGGTGAGGTTGATCCCAGCAGAACACGTTTGTTTGCCTATTCCCAAACCTATCGTATCAGACGACTCAGTTGCCCCTGTGCTAGCCCATGCACCCTGCCAATCCTGTGACTTAACTGAGGCATAGGAGTTGTGCTTGAAAACCAGAAGTGCTTCTTCCATTTTATTTAAGCCAAAGCATTAACTTTTCTTTCGGGTAATGTGCATGAAGGCATCTCTCAGGGAGGTTTTCTTTCATGCCGATGTAAGCTTCCAACTATATTTTGCTGGAAAATCTAATATTCCAGAGGGTCAAAGTAACATTTTTCTCTTTCAATATATGAATGCTTGGAATGGTTGAGTTGTTCTTGCACCGTGGATGGGGAGTCATGTGCTAAGAAACCCCAGGACAATGCCTATAAGTCTTTCTGATTCTTCTTGCTGAAGGCTAGAAAGCCCCTGCAGGGTCCTGCAGTTCCTAACGCCTGGCTCACACATGCTTCCTTGGGCATTCATAGGTGACACTATTTCAGAAATACAGAACTGTCACTAGTAACTGCATACACACACCAAGGCAGGGGTGAAGCTGCATATGCAGCTTCAGTGTTGATTGCTGTGATTGTTTTGATCACTGTCCCTGTAGCTGTGGTATAGACTCCTACATACTTGACCTGTTTCAGGAAAGAAGAATATCCATATTCTGGAGTAATTTGGAGATAACATCAAATGGATGTTGAGACGTGTGAATGACTGGCTGTTGGGGACTATAGGGAAAATTTGGGGTGGTGGGGGAAGAGGTTTCTACCAGTTAAACAGCAACCTGTTTATAGTTGTAGCGAGAAAATAATACACTCTGTGCTGCTTTAAGAATAGCACACTGCTGCTTTGAGAATATAATAAGAGACCTGGTAATGAGCAACTTGTGGTGGGAAACAGAATTAAGATCCCAGATGTAGCTCTTAACACTGTTTCCTGACCTAAATACACAGCTAGTTGTCATTAACATAACTTTCTGATGAATTACAGAGGGGCCTTAAATGATTATGGAAGTGGAACAATAGGGTTTTCTGCCACACTCAAAAAGGGAGGGTATCATAGAGCTAAAACAGAACCACCTCATCTTCAGGGTGATATAGATCTTAGGGAGATTGGTACTTAGGGAAGGGGATGCCACAGACCACTGGCAACACGCATACATACCCTGTTAATGGTCTGTTATCAGGAGCATGCAGCCGTAGAGGCAAACTCATATTTGACAAAGTGTATTCACTAGACTACAGTTCAGATTGCCCCATAGCTGCCAAGCTGTGCTCAGTTATGCTGTTTAGATAGAAGCTGGATTTCTTTCACTGTCTCAAATTCATAAGTTGTTCATCACTTCAAGAGGATGCCCTCTAAAACCAGTTGCTACAATTACATAGGACAGAAGGAGGAGTAAACAATATAATTGCTGGTCTTTTCCCAATAAATGAGCCTTGGCTGCTGCTTGAGAGCCCTTTTCTTTATGAAGTCTCTCTCTCCCTCTCGCTCTCTCTCTCACAGCTGTTTTCCCAGGACTGCCATATCCAGTTATCTTTTCAGGTTAGTGATGTTTATTTTTTCTGCAGCTGTATTTCTTTAGTTATACAGCTGTGGGTGAATTCCTTAGGGTTGTCTTATTATAAACCCAATATTTAAATATTGTGAAGCCATAAGATAGTGGGCTCCTCACCCCTGAAGAACTCCCACTCAGGCAGGAGGGGCAGGAACTCTGAAAACAATACTGGGGATTAGAATAAGTCTTGTTACATAAAACCAAAAAAAGGTCTAAGATATACTGTTGCTGTTAGTGCCCTATTCACCACCCACTTTGTGAAGCACTGGAGAACTCACTCTCAGAATTTATCTGATCTTGGATTGTTTCCTTTGAGGAATATCTTAGAGGCTTTGAGAGCTGTTCAGCACCTCACAGATGGTATCTCTCAGAGCAGATCAAGGTCTGTTTCCTGCTCCTAATGATTTTTGAGACTGTTCAGGGCGACGGTCTGTGGAAACAGTCTGCAAAGCAGGGCTGCGCTACAGTCCTATTTCTCCTCCCACTGCTACCACCTCACTAATGAATGTTAGTGGAATGTACTGTTAGGCAAAGACATCCATGGTTCATCCAAATGAAGCTGAAGCCTTTTTGTAGCTCAAATAGAAGAGGAACACATACAAACCTTACTGGGATACCAGCCCCTCTCAGTAGGCTTCCTGTTGTGCAAGTTAATTGAATTGCTGCCTACGACATCCTCCTTACCAGACTATAGCTGCCTGCGTTTGACTACTTTTCATGGCTCCAGTACACTGAAATGCACATTGTGTAATTGCTATTATCAAACTTACTGCATTGTGTTTCAAAGTATGAGATGTATGCATTTCTGTAGAGACCTCACCTGCTGATAACGTAGATGACTGACTTCTTAACATCTGGCATGCCTCGAGCTCCCTCAGTCAGCTGCACACATTAGGCATCTCCTGTAAAGACAAATCATCTTCCAGCTGCCACTGAGAATGTCATTCTAGTCCCGAAGCTTTTTTTTTTAATGGCAGATCTAGGCTGCACATTATTGTGCTCCAAGGGAATAGGAATGCTGTACAGTGGAGCTGGAAACTTTTTCTTTTTTTTTTTCTTCCTAACTTTTTTAGACAAACACAGTTTTCAATGTGCTGATGTGGCAAGTGAGAGACAGACTGGACTAGAAGCTGGCTTGTACTACAGCAGAAGATGCATTTTCTGCACCCAGTCTTTCATACACAAAGGAGATTTTAACATCGAGCCCTAGCAATGCTGTTTAGTTTGAAGGCTGACTCAATTTTAGGTTGCATTGCTTTGCTCCTCCTGGATGGAAAGCCAGCTACAGCAGCCCTAGGTGTATTCAGTTATTGGCCACTTCCAGCAGCTGCTCCTGAACTGGGAGTAAATTAACGCACTAGCTATTCTAAAGGCTTTCCAAACTGCTCCTTCTCTCCTATTAAAAAAAAGGTGGGGTAGGAGATAGGATAGCAGTTACTCTTTTATCAAAATGAAAATGTAAACCGGAAAAGCTAGCTTAACTGAGTTAGCAGGCCATTAGAGACTTCAGTTTTCCACGGGAGGTCCTGTGCCTCTTCTGTTCACAATCTTGCATTCTGTGCACTGAGAGAATTCTTTAAGACTTGGTTCTCTCCACCACCACCATTAATATCCTGCATGCCTCTAGGCATGTGAGGGCCTTAAATTTTGCAGTCATGGGCTTCTCAGCATGGTAGCTGACAATACGTGCTTTTTAAAAAATTATTACTTTTATTGATTCACTGAGTTGTGTGGTTTGTACAGCTTCTTTTCAGTTCTCCTTTCCACCACAAAGGCTTCGCATTAAGGTCGAAATAGCATAGTCTTCAACTGACTTATAAACCTAGAACTGCAGGAACTGTCAGTAGCAGGGTGAAAGTCTGATCTAAGAGGAAACACAAAGTCTTTTTATATCTCAGCTGTGGACAAGTCACTGCTTTACCTTTCTCGTTCTTTGTCTAGCAATCAATCTGACCCATACTTCTATAGGGGTTTTACAGGTTACCTGATTTTTAACAAAATCAGATATGGGGTAGAGGGCAGTCTCAAACAAGCATCTCTTGTGTTCCTCCACTGAGATGAAGTAGAGGTTTATAGAAGCTACAGCATTTTAGTCTCTTTGCCAGTATTATTAATCTTGAAGTTTTAATAAGAGGACATGGAGCAAGAAGCCCTCTACTGCTGATGAAGTCTATTGTGAACTTCTGGGCTTGAGCACAGACCTTGCAGGTTTATGATGTGGTTACTTTTTTCTTTTGTCTCTTAATCTCTTAACATCACCTACCAGGTGCTGTGCAATTACTTCCCCCCAAGGCAGAAGCTGTTCATGTAATTTAACTTAACTAAGCGGGACTGTTGTGTGTGCTACTCTCTTTGGAGGAACGGGGTAGGAGGTGCTTATTCCTTTCCTGTACGCTTGCATAAGCTGTAAGCTTGCTTGCCTACATCCTGGCCTGGTCCCAGCTATTACTCATTTCCCAAAGAGACGGGTACGTTATGCCTGAAAGATGATAGCTTAAATAAAGTTGGATCCCCCTTGCTGGGGGAATGCACCAAGTCTTGCAGCTGACCGTCCTTTATTAACCCAGCATCTGTCTTGAGAAGACCTGGTGAGGTCATGAGCCTGGAATGCCACTAAACTGCTTCTTTTTTTTTTTTTTTTTTAAAATGGAGTTTAAGTAGAAAAGTGTTTCAGGCCAGGAAAGGAGACTGGATCATATGTTGAAGATGGTGGAAATAGAGGCTTGCGTTAACCCTTGGAGTATTGTGTCAAGATTGAAATTCTTATCACTGTATCCTGCAGACTTTGTTCCATCCAGCCTGACTGCTGGCAGTTCAGGAGGAAAAGATGAGTTTCACCCTTTTTTAGACAGCCACATGCATACTTCTTACTCTCCAGCAGCTGACTCTACATGTACAGATGTACTCACCTGCTCAGATGTTTGAAGGAGAAGAAAATTTCTTCCATGTCCTCTTTCCATAATGTTGTGAGTACATCTATACCATCTGGTACCAATCTGATACCATCATTCACGACTATGCCTTTGACTTCTCAACTGACTGACAAAGGGAAAGTTTAAGTCAGGAAGAAAGACAGTACAGACATCTTGTTTCCTCTGCACAAGCTGATAGCAGTACAGAGGGAATTTTATTGTCTAAGTGTGAAAGGAAGCAGGAAGAAGTATCAAGGATTATGGGAAGTGCAGTAAGAACTAAATCTAAATACAGGTTCTGTGTTAGCTACACAAGAACACAGAACCATGCTGATTAATTACAAAAAGACACACATGATATAGTTCATAAAGAAAGAAACCCTCCATTTCTTATTTCTGAGCTGTACCAGTGATGAGTATGTGAATGGTTTTGGAGCACCCTATCAGTGCTAGAGTAGAATACTGATGTGCATGGAAGGGGACCCTCTGGTCCCACTAGCACCATCTCAACCCTGACCTGGGGGGAAACTCTGCTCTGCAGAGATTATAGGGGATTTAGTAGCCTTCTTGGCCTAAGTTGAGTTGCTCTTGAGCAGACAGAGCCAGGGCGCACTCTGAAGGAGAGTGGCTGTGATACAAGTAAACACCTGCTCAGGAAACAGACAAAAATATTAAATTCCCTAAGGAGTTCAGCTTGGCTGTAGAGAGACCATCTCCACCTTGCTCTGGCAGAGCATAAACCAAGCAAGAATAGCACTTGCTTTCTTACGTTAAGTTATAAACTCTTTAATGCAGGTCTTACAGGATAACAATGCAAGACCACTGGAATTCACGGTGTTATTTCAGCAAGACTCACACACAAAATACGCATGGGAGACGGGGCGCATCCTGCTTATATCTAGCTCCTAATCATCAGGACCGCTTGAAATACTTCACTTAGAAGAAGCAAATGGCTAAAGCAACCACATGAAGGGATTAGCGAGACTCACTGGAGCAGAGTCAAGCCCATCTAATCCAGACTCTTCCCTTTTAGCAATAGAGAATTCTTCTGTTCATTATGGTTTCTCAAACTCTGCAAGTTTAAAGACAGTCATGTTTCAGTCTATTCAACACTGCATGTGAACCTGCCTTCAGGGATAGGCACCTGATTAAGGCTTTCACCTAAAATGCTTTAAAAAAAAGTGTTAAGCAGATCTGATGACAGCAATATAGCTACTGTAAACACAAACTACCTCCTAGCCACAGTTCTGGAGTCGTTTATTCTGGCAAGGATCCAAGCATACTATATACTGACCCATACAGTGGCACACAGGTAGAAGAGTCATCTGAATAAAAGCACTCCACTGCCCAGCTAAAACACTTGCTAACATACCTTAAGTTCCTAAAGGCTCACTTAGCATATCAGGGCTTTAAAAAAAAAAACCAAAAACAACAACAACAACAAAAACCCTCATGTGTCACAGACTGATAGAGACCTGATCCTACTTCTTAGTACATGATGTTTATATTAGAGTGACACCGCAGGAGAAAGTCCTCGGTTTTGCTCACTAATGCAGTCATCCATTTAAAAAAAGTCAAAATTGGCCCTGTGTCAAGGGACTTGTCTACATAAAAGTATAAGGAGAAACTCTTAATTCAAGGTTTGAATTACATTTAAAATAGTTTTTGCTAGCAGTAGGCCAGCATTTGTTCAAGTAAAGCCTTTCTAACCTCATCTAGACTTGGTGTACAACATAGGCAGTGTCTATCCATTCTCAGTGTTTGGAGGCAGTTCCCTTCCACAGGGTTCAGAAGGACTTACACTGCAGAACAGACATGAGATGAGACCTACTGAATAGTGAAATTTACACCCCAGAGCTACATGAACTATCACATCAATATTTAACATTAAATACTTCATTAAAAGGAATCTTCAAGAACAATCTTTTTTTGTTCTGCAGATGCTAAGGCGTATGAGTTAAGCCCTATTTTTTCACTTCCATTCTTTCTCTGTTGTGCTAAAGAACAGAAAAGTGAAGATGACTCATCTTCAGACTTTTTTCTTAGGTTTTGAGGCAGACAGGCCAGAAACTAGAGTAGCTGATTGAGGGAGGAAAGTGGAATTGCAAGAGCAGGGTTAATCCTTCATTGTACCCTCAAGTTACTTAGGGCATAAAACTAGACTGTGCAAATCCTCTGTGTCAAGTTTGCAGGTTGGGGCCACTTGTCATCTCGGCAAATAAGCTAAGCTTTATACTGAAGTGATTCATCTTGTTATGGAGATACAGAGTGGACAAGAGCAAGAAGGGGAAATTTGTTAGGTCATTTTCCATTTCTTTGCACCAGCCACTAAACTGGTGATACCGAAACAGCAAGGGGCAGGAGCTCTACCACCCAGAGAAACACAGCAGAAGGCTTGAAACAGTTACCCTAATAGATGTCTCAGTGTTTAGTCCTGTGTCCATCTTGACAAGTCATCAATGTTAGATACATAAGGAGAATTAAAAGACTCCTAACATACACAATTGTGCAACTAAATCTTGAAAGAGGATATTCTTGTCTGGCTTCAGCTAGTAAGTGCTCTGAAGGATAAGGATTAGGAGACCTTGAACTCTGTCACGCATTCCTTAAACATCCACTTCCTTTGATTTTTTTAAACTATTGGCTTCATTTACATCCTGCAGGAAAGTGCTTAATTACTGAATCAAAGAAAGCATTTTGTTTTAGGCCATGCTGCCCTGGTGATCTAACACTGCTGAGCATCCTTTTGCCTTGCTCTCAAGAAAGCATCATTAGCATGCAGCTGACCCCTTCACTAGCCCCTTCTTTTCTGAAGTCTTCTCCCCCACTCCTTTCCATCTAAAAAGGCTCACGTCTATCCAGCTATTGAATGTGCTCCGTATGAAGCTACTAATTATTCTCAAGAGCTTTCCAATCACTCTGAGTTAACAAAAAAAGTGAGGATATGTCCTAGTTTTATGTAAGCTGGTATTACAATATTTTTCTGTATTTCATCCACTTTAATAAAATCTAACATTCAGTCTCCCTTGCTGATTGCTGCTTGTATTTATTGTAGCATTCATAGTGGCAGCTGAACTTCAGTGTGCTACACAACAGTATGAAAAGGCAGCTAGTGGTTTTCCTGTGACCCATATTATTTACAGGTAGCTGTGGTACCTTTACAGCAATCATCATTAGCATCCAGACACTAAGTATGCTAATTTACAGCTGCACAAAATTGGCCAGAGGAAACAGCCAAATGGCTGCTTGCTGTGGTACTGTCTAGTTTCAGCGTTGTGTGTAGCTTGAGTGCAAGGGAGAACAAGTGATGCAATGCACTGTGGAAACTAGCATCTTCTTGTGGGTTAACCTTATCTTGGATCAGCAGCATGTTATGACGCTTCACTGTGGATTCTCCTCCTGGTCATGCCGCATGGCAGAAAAGTACAGACAAGAGAGCTTGGAAGCTGCAGTTGTATGAATGCACACATAGTTAGTGCCTTGCAAGTTACATCACAGTGAAGGATGTACCATTAGGGACCTGTAAGGCCTGAGTTAAATCACCTGTGGGCAGTGCTTCAGGGATTAGTACTGCTTTAACTTGACAGAAGAGCTGATTTGTTTGGAGAGAAGAGCCCATTCTCTGCCACCAAAAGAGCACTGCTTATATGAGAGCGTGACACAGCTATACTGTGACACAAAACTGCTAGAGAGCTAAGCTCCACCATGTTTCTGATAACTCCACCAGAAAGTATAAGCCCCGTTCCAACAAACTTAAATATTTAGTATTTCAGACAGTTTAGCTCCTTGTTAGTGTTGGAGTGAAACAAGACTCATTCTCTCCAACCCTCCTACTCCCAAGCTGCATTTCCGTATTTTCCAGATCCATGGACCCTGATCACTTCAAGGCTACACTGTGCTGACTTCTGGCAACCACTCTGTTTCCAGGCTGTAGGCCTCACAGACTTGACAACATTCCTGATTTCTGACAAGTATTACACTGCTTAATCAGTGGTACTACATTCCCCTGAAAAGAAGTTTAGGGAGCGTTAAGGCTGTGACTGGGCAGAAAAGCCCAGCCCAACTCTGGGGCTGGGATGGGGAACTACCTTCAGGAAGCTCCAGCTGAGCTGTCAGGAAAGCAGCTGCAATCTCCTTGAGCAGGGCTTCCCAGCAACATGTGCGCAGGGCTGGCATTCCAGGCCTATAATACGAGCACTGCAGGAATGGAGGAGCAAGACTTTTGCGGAAAGGAAAAATGCTTGTAAATCCTGTTCAGATAATCAAATCCTTCTTCAGCTATTTACTCTTAAAACTTGTACCTTGGTGACTGAGGTACCTTCTGTGAGCTTTCACTACAGCAGTCACTAGCAGCTACTAGAGAGAAGGCAGATGAAGAGATAGCTCAAAACTCAGGTGAGATAGCTCAAAACTCAGGTGTCTAACCAGCCCCTGCCTTCCCCCTCTGCCGCCGGGACAATTAATATCTCTGACAATTTTCACATGGCAATGGCATGGGCATATGCTGACCCACTCAGCCACAAAAGGATGTACTGCAACAGTCCAATAGCATCACAACAGGTAAAGATGCCATCATCCCACAGTCTGCCCCCTCAGATGCCATGAAATGCATCGGAATTGGCTGGATTAAACCCGAGATGTGGTTTCTCCGGATGAGAGGCTCTTGCATGATTAATAAAACAGAGACTGAGCAAATTCAGCCCTGTCTCTCACAAGAGCAATGTTAAAGTGCTCAGAATGACAAAACTAGGAGTGTTTGCACAAGATGCAGGGGCTGTCCCATTCCAGTATCACTCCCTCAGCCCCATGTGCTTTACATGGGCTCGAGACTTGTGCAGGCAGGGAAGGAGCACTATGGATGAGATGCTTCATCCACTTGCTATCAACCTAAAAAATCTGATAGCAAGTCAGCTGACTGCACTCATTTCCTGTTCTCCCTGCAGCACACTCTCACCAAAGTGTAGATCTGTTTCAAAAAAGCAGACAAACCCCTCTCCAAAAAACCCCAAACCAACAAAAAACCCACACTTGCTTCAGTGAATTAAGACGGACATCTCTCCCAGAAGCAGGCAGGTGAATCCTCTGGGACCCATGGGATCCAGCTCTGGGGCTGGTCCACTGGGAAGTACCTGGGAAGACTAGCACTGTGTTGCACTCCCACTCCCCCCTCCCCTGTGTCAGAATTGCTGCAGGTGGATTCAGGTCCCAACTGCGGCCAGCAAGGAGTCTGTGGAGCCAGATACAAAAGGCACAGCTCTCTTCACACCCGGATTTGGTACCCATTGAGGTCTGGCATGGCTTTGGAATCGGCAGGCTTCTTCTCACCAGATGGCCTGTGAGCAAAGAGCGTAAGAACTATTCAGAAACTCTTCTCAGTCAGGAGGGCCTGTACACAGAGATGCCAGCACCAGACAAGCAGACAGGAAAGCTTCAGACTCATGCCACACTATTGTGCACAGGATTATTCTCTAACCTTCAATAACTCTCCCAAAGATCTCCATAGAAAGAGAACACAGGTTAGGAAGAGTAGAAACTCCACACTGCTACCTCCAATCCGTTTTCAGGAGAACAACCTCACTGACCAATGATGTAATTTGTGGAATCTCTTTGGGGTACAGGCCTTCAAGATGCCACAGCTCAGACA